CACACACACACACACACACACACACACACACACACACAAATAAATAAAATTTTTAAAAAAGAAAGAAACACAAGTGGTAAGTAAATATATGAAAAATTATGAAAGAATGTTGAACATCATTGGTTATTTGAGAAATGCAAATTAACAACACTGAGATTCCATCTCACTTCAGAAAGAATGGTTAACATCAAGAAGTCAGTCAATAGCAAATGCTGGTGGGCTGTGAGGGCAAACGAACCTTTCTCCACTGTTGGTGGGAGTGCAGACTGGTACAATCTCTATGGAAATCAGCTGGGAAACCTTAAAAACCTAGGATTGGAGATCCCATTCAAGCCAGCTCTTCTCCTCCTGGGTATTTTTCCAGAAGAATCGAAAACCTCATAATATAGCAACAGCAGGCACAGGGGCCAGGGGTTTGGTTCCCAGGCCTGCTGTTGGTGAATGGATGTGACTAAAGAACATACTCTTAAGTGAAATAAATCATACTCGCATGTGCAAACATCATATTGTCTCCTTAGTGTGAGAACCTGAAAGAGAAAAATGGAACCTGAATAAAAAGGAATGAACTTATTCAAAAGGAAAGAGTTACTGAGTTGAGAAGAAAGACAAGAGGGAGTGGGAGTGGAAGGAAGAGATTTATCTATGTTTGTATGCAGGATGCTTTGGGCAACTGTACTGTGTAATTCTGAGGTCTATGGAAAGGAGTAGATAATACTTAATTTGTTTTCTCTCCCTTTTTCAATTGTTTGTAATTCTTCTTAATTTCTTATAAATTTCTTTCTTTTTTTCTTTCTTCTTCCAATTTACATGCATATATCTGGTAATATGAATAACTAGTTGGAAGACAACTGCATGTATTACAACAAATACTGTGAAATTCATATTACCTTGTTAAGTGAAATTCTATATCACATAATTTTCTCTGTTTTAGTTCTAATTTTCACTCTGTTTTAAAAGAATTGGAGGGCTGGTGAGATGGCTCAGTGGTCTAAAGCACCTACTTAGAACAAGCTAAGCTAAGCAAAAGCACAGGGACGGCGGTTCAATCCCCAGCACCACATGCCAGCCAGCCCCGCCCCCTGGTGGGCTGAACTGGCCACACACATACAAAATAAATAAATAAATTTTTAAAAAATAAATAAAAAATAAAAGAATTGGAGGCATGTACGGACCCTTCTGGACAGCTTTGTTCTAACAACTCTGTTGTTAGTGCAGGTGCACAACAGAGGACAATTGTATAAGCACACTTAGCAGTGAACAACTGTATGCACCTCAGGGAGCCCAGAGTGAAGGCTGTAGACAGGTGACATCAACATGAATGAGAAATATACAATATTAAGGAGGAGAAAGGGAAAAAAGAAGGAAGGAAAAGGGAAAGATAAAAGAATAAAATAGAAACAAAGTATTGTAAATAAGGAAGGGAAGAGAGATTGAAAGGATGGGAAGGGAATGAGAAGGCCAAAAAAGACAAACCAAAGCATACCACATACAGGTACAAATTCACTGATGAGTGTGATCACTGTTTCTATCTAAATTATACCAATAAACTTAATTAAATTCCAAAAAAAGAAAAGGAAAAAATTTACTCTGAAATTAGAAGATGGGATATGGATTGTAAGACATTATTTAGGTAGATGTATTAATTTTTTTATATTTACAAAACAGTAGGGATCAAGAAATTGATGGGGGACCCACTAAATCCCTCATGGTGGTGTGGGCATGAGCCCCTTGCACAGAGGATCTGTCCCATGGTGGGTGGCAGGACAGGGTGTTGCAGGAAGTTGAGTGGAGCCACCTCCTCTCTCATATTATTTCAAAGTTCAGCATAGGCCTGGGTGAGGTTGTTCTTCCCAGCACACACTCATAACATCTGAAGTCAAGATGACCACATTATCAACTCTGCATGGGGGGTGTTTGTGGGAGCAGTTTCTGAAATTGAGGTCATTACAGTTCAACCTAATTCAGTGAAAGCTTTCCCCCATCTTTCACAATGATATCAGCAGTGGTGGAAAGGTAGAAGAGCTTGAAGGTCCATGTGTTTTGTTTTGTAAATTCAACAAATGTGCAATATTGCTACACCAAAGGGTAAAGAAGAATGTCAAGCTGTACTAATGATGCTGCATCTATAGATGACTGATGCGTATATAAGTTTCACAGCAGTAGAATTTTGTTATATGTTAAAAATAAAGGGCCGAGGAGATGGCTCAGTAGAATTAGTGCTTGCATGGCAAGGTTAAGGGTCTGAATTCAATCCCCAGTTCTGCCAAAAAATAAAATTAAATTTAAAAAATGCCCTGAATGCACTACCTGGAAGTAAATCCAAGCTTTCAGGCATTGTTCACATAACAAAGAGATTACTGCTCTTGAATAATGACACCACAGTTCTTGGTGGTGAAGTAGAACACCTTATTGAGAAAAGGGAGTTATAGAGAAGCTTGTGAAAACACAGTAGAAGCAACATTGGAACTGAAGGTGGACCACCTTCTCTTGTGCATTTTGGATAGCAGTATGTTTCTCATGTTCAAGTACATAGCAGAGAACTTGATGAAAGACAGACATCACAAGTTACAATGCCCTTCACACATACAAATAATAATGATG